TAAAATAATTAATTATTACTTTATTCTATAAAAAATATTAATCAATAAATTATCTTAGTTATCAATGACATATCATTAAAAATTAATTTTTTAATTCCAATTATCAATGCCACATATGCGAAATTGGAGAGGACCACAAAAATCCAAAGACCATCAAAATTAAGTGATCAGAATCGTTGATTTTGTAATAGGGGGCCAATTGTTTAAAATGCTCAAATTAGGGAACCAAAAGTGGTCTAATGTTTTTTTGTCAAAAATTAATGGAAGATATCAAATAGGGTAGTATAAGTGAAGTTAAGTAATTAAATTGTAATATAACCCCTAAGGGTTGATCTAATGATGGAGGTTTAGGTCTTGAAAATTGTCTCCTCTCAAGATCATACAAAATATCAAGATTTTTTTTAAAAAAAGTAATATTTTTTACTTAAGGGGCTAAAACAAAGTATTGAATTAAATTAAAAAACTTAAACATGTAGGAGTATTCACCATAATTTATTCCATTAATAAAATATCATTTAAAAATATTTTTTTATTTAAACTTAATTTAAAAAATTAATTTTCTAAGTGAAGTTAAATAGAAAATCAAATGGTAATTAAGTCAATTTTATGTTATTAAAAAAAACAAAAGAAGTCGGTTTGAGTCCAAAGGGAGACCCAAGGAACGAATATCAGTAACCTTACTAAACCATAACGCATATTCGCCGGTGTTCTGTTGCCGCAACCTCTCTAGAGCACGATTTTGCGAACTCTAGCGTCGCGCCTCTCGTCTTCTTCATCTTCACACTTCAACTCAGGTATTCATCTCTGTTCCTTGTATTTTAGGTCATTTTATTTGCTTTTCCATTCGACTTACTTGCTTCTGTTGCTTGTTCTTAGTGATAATTATGGGATTAGGCGGGTGCATGTGATTTTCAGGGAGAGTAATTAAAGGTTTTCAGGGACATAATGTTTTATCTTAGTAAGATTGAGCATAAATTGACCTTGCCTCCTTTTCTTCTCACTCTTTCCATTGGAGAAGCCATACACACGGAGCTTGAGAGGCTTTTCTTTGATAAGGTTTTATGTCACCATCATTTTCATTTTCTTACTTACCTTTATGTTGCTAATATTTTCATTTTCTTACTTACCATTATATATATATATATATATATATATATATATATATATATATATATATATATATATATATATATATATATATATATATATATATATATATATATAATTCATTTAACTTATTTCACCTGATTTCGTTTTGTGTTTCTGTAATCATGTTAGGTTATTGAAAACCTGGGCGTTTGTACATCTGTTTGTGATATCATATCCATCGAGGGCGGGTATATCTTCCCTGGTGACGGTGCTCCGACCTACCTGGTATGAGTTTATTGGCTGTGTTGAACTTTTCGATATATGATTGGATTTGAATTCTACATAATGAGACTATGAAGTTGAGTGTTGGCATTTAGGTCTAGTAGAGACTATTTTCTACCCTTCAGTGGATTGTTTAGCTTTACTTTTTAATTTTATTAGAAAAAAAATCTCACTCTTGAAATTCAGTCCTTAAATTTCAATTTATGAACACAATATTGATGCCATGCAATTATGTTAGAATAAGTTATTTGCTGGAAATTTCATACTTCAAAAATTATGTGCTTTCTTTTCTTTCCTCATTACAATTTTTTGATGTACTTGGTAGTGTTTTGTTGATTGATGGGAGAAGGTTGTGTGATTGAGTTTTATTATGCAATAATTGTATTATGGAATTTCTGGAAGGTGGTATATAATATGATTCTGTTTCATCCATTTCCAGGGGAGATTGGTACTGCAAAACTTATTTCATCTGATATTGATGGCTTGCGCTGTACGTATTCAATTTTCAGCACGTTCCTCTATTTTCATACTACTTGTTAGATATTCATTGTTGATTTAGTTTCTGTTGAGCAAAATAAAACTCGTGGTTTGTCTCTGCCCATATTATTTCCTTTTTACCCCGCTTTTATTGGAATACAATGATTCATTCAATACTTATTACGGGTCAATGTTAAATCCTATCCAGAGTTTCTTGACAAGAAGAGTGTGTGCACGAGACCCTGCAAGTTGAATTGTCATCTATCTGATTTTTGTATATTCTCTTCTCTTGATGATGTGACATTGACAATAACCTAAATGCTTATCAATTTTAGATGTATTTTAAGATATCCCCTGTTTAGTAATTTTGAATTTATGATTGACAATATCCATTGGATTCATTGATGACATTTACATTCCTACTCATCACATGCCCAATCCAAACCACTATGTACCAGAAAATAGGTAACACTACTTCTATCCAATTTTACTTTTGGGATGAAATATGAACATAATACTAAATCATATCCATATAATATCTTTTATTTTTCGTGCCAAACCCCCTCTCATCATGTATGCTAAAACATGATGTTTATATTTTGGTGAAATTTTCAGCAACAAAGGCACATGGTTTTGGGATTTTGATGAAGAAAATGATTTATCATTCGATATTAATTATTCTAATGAGGTTAGACTTCTTTTTCCCTTTATCTCAATTGTATGCCTCGTCAACGAGCATGAAACAAAGTTTTGGTTACCAATGTGGCAGATCAAATGCCAAGTTCAAAGCGTGAGTTACCCACCAATTCCAATTGAGTAACCAAAAGAATAAAAAAATTCGATATGTTTGTCATAAATAGCAAACACTTTGAATCAATGATGTGCATGATATTATGAATAAAGATCTTATGATAGGTGATTAGAGCATTGTAATACCCCAAATTTGTCCTACCTGTACATTACCTTCACTTGTATATCCGTCTACTAACTATTATTCAAAAATCCAAAAAATACATTGTTTGTGCTTGCTTAAATCCATTTTTCATTCAAGGGCATCAAGGCCAATGTGCAAGATTTATGTGGTGTGTGTCTGAGATTTCAATTAGGGTTGTGTCAATTCAAGTCATTCATGTTTAGGTTAAGTTATCGAACTGTGCCAAGTTATCAATGCTTCATGATTAAAGAACATCAAGAATCAATTCATCTTCAATCAGGGATTTGGGACCAAGCAGTTCATATCAAGTCATGTACTACTGATTTCAAGTGATTTCATTGTTTCAAGGTTCTAAAGTGTCTGAAGATCCAGATTGTATCGTGATTCATTTTCTCAGGATTTATTCAAAGGTTGTTGGGATTTGGTCCTTATTGCAATTGTGGATCCGATTCAAGTGTACTGTTGGATTAAGATCAGTTAAGGTGTGCATCTGTGGTTCTAAGTCGGGAATTCATTTTCATGATTCAAGTCTATTACCCATTCTCCATTTTTTATTATCCGAATTCATTATCCATTTGTTTTCTAAACCCATTCATATCCATTTTAATATCTATTTCAAAATCATATTTTCCATTTCAAGTCCATATTCAAAACCCATTGTCCATTACACAAATATTGTAAAAAAAAAAAAATTTACAAAGTCCAACACTTGCCAAATAAAACCAAAACCCATGTTTTCTCTTAAATTCACAATAAACCATTACATTTTCCATACAAATTTTTACAAAGTCCAATTACAAGACTAAGCCCATTACCTAATCTTCCAAAAAATATAAGAGTGAAAGACTCATGAATAAGCATCACATGACCCAATTCAAATAGCCAAATCAAGTTGTTAAGCCATGATATTTTCCTAACCATTACTGAAGCCTTCATTACGCAAATACCACCATGCATCAACCATACACTACAAACCAAAATATTAGGCAATCCTGACCATCAACAACACACCCTACATGACATGTATTCACACCACATTTTGAATCATCATGCAACAAAAAAAAAACAATACAAACACACACACACGCGCACGACCTACACCAAGTTTTTCCCAACCATTTCCACCCACCATTCCACAACCTGCTGCCAACATGATTCCAATGCACACACTGCAACCAAACCATAGATTCACGCAGCACACCTGCAAATGAGCATCAAGTCACACACCACATGACATCAGCTGCTTCATTGCAAAACCGTACCTACATAAACCACAACAACCCTCTATTAGTTGTACCCCTTTAACTATTAAATCCAGCGTCAACATTACATTTTAATCACCCTTCATTAGGAGGGCTCCAAACAAAAAGGTGATGAAGGGTGTTATTTAAAATTTCAAATAACTTTCTTTACGAGCTAAAAACCAATCTTGCCAATTGAAATATGTTTGCCATTCAAGTCTTGGGATCTCATCTCGAACATTATTCTAGACAACATTATTCATATTCTTCCAAAGCATCTCAATCACCACAACAACTCCACGAGCATCCCTCTTATCCTCTCTATTACAAATATCAAGAATCAAGGACTTAGTATCAATAAAACCATAAACACGAGAGTCAATGTAATTTTTTTAAATTAAAAAATTAAAATAAAACATTACATTAAATTAAGGGACTTATGATTAATTATGGCTTATTTTATTCTATATATGATATATCATTTAAAAATAATACATCATAGATTTTGAGTGAAAAAAATAAAATTTATTTAGATTTAGTGTAAGAAATTAATTTTGTGAGTGAAGTTAAATCGAAAATTAAACGGCAATTAAGTCAATTTTATTAAAAAAAAAATATATATATATATATATATACACTGTTTTTATATTATTTTCCAAAAAAACATTGTGTTCTCATCTGTTAGATAAATCGTATGCTCCAGAATTTTCCAAGTGTATAATATATTTATTTTTATGTTGTTAAAAAATAAACAAAGGCATGTCTAGTAATCTAGTACCTTGTTAAACCCTAACGCGCAGTAGCCCCATCGAGCATCTTCGCCGTTGTTCTACTGCCACAACGACGTCGGAGAATAATTTCTCGAATCCTAGCGGCGTCTTCTTCTCCCGAAGTTCTATTGGTCGAAGCCACAAATATTTTCTATTGTAGTCCTGTTTCTTCTGGATAGCACTCTGTACTAACAGGGTATAGGGTCAATGTTTTACATCAGTAAGATTGAGCATAAATTGACCTTGCCTCCTTCTCTTCTTGTTCTTCCCATCGGAGAAGCCATGCACACGGAGCTTGAGAGGCTTTTCTTGGATAAGGTTTTATTTTGCTAACATTTTCATTTTTTTATGATCCATTCTATATAACTCATTTAACTTATTTCAGTTTGCTTTGTTTTGTGTTTCTGTGATCATGTTAGGTTATTGCAAACTTGGGCCTTTGCACATCTGTTTATGATATCATATCCATCGAGGGTGGGTCTATCTTCCCTGGTGACGGTGCTCCGACCTACCTGGTATGTTTATTGGCTGTGTTGAACTTTTCGGCATATGATTGGATTTGAATTCTACACAATGAGACTATGAAGTTGAGTGCTGGCATTTTGGTCTAGTTGTATTTATGGGCACAAATTTGATGCTATGCTATTATGTTATAATAAGTTATTTGCTGGAAATTTCAGACTTCAGAAATTGTGTGCTTTCTTTTCTTTCCTCATTACTATTTTTTGATGTACTTGGCACTGTTTTGTTGATTGATGGCAGAAGGTTGTGTGATTGCTTTTTACTATGCATTAACCGTATTCTGGAATATCTGGCAGGTGGTATTTAATTTGATTATGTTTCGTCCATTTCCGGGGGAGATTATTACTGCAAAACTTGTTTCATCTGATGCTGATGGCTTGCGCTGTATGTATTCAATTTTCAGCTAATTTCCTCTATTTTCATACTACTTGTTAGATATGCAATTTTGATTTAGTTTCTGATGAGAAAAATAAAACTTGTAGTTTGTACTCTGCCCGTATTATTGCTTTTTCACCCCACTTTTATTGGAATACGACGATTCATTCAGCACCTAATATGAGTCAATGTTAAATCCTATCTAGAGTTTTTAGACAAGAATAGTGTCTGTGTGTGTGACCCTGCAAGTTGAATCGGCATCAATCTGATTTTTTGTATATTCTCTCGATGTTGTGACACTGACAATAGCCTACTATTTACATTATGTTACAATGCTATCCAATATCTGCACTCTGAAAATATCAATGATTATCAAGTTTTAGGTGTATTTTAAGATATTTTCTGTTTGGTAATTATGAATTTTTGATTGACAGTATCCATTGGATTCTTTGATGACATTTACATTCCTCCTCATCACATGCCCAATCCAAACCACTATCTACCAGAAAATAGGTAACTCGGCACCTATCAAATTTTACTTTTGGGATGAACTATGAACATAATACTAAAGCATATAAGATCTTTTATTTTTTCCTGCAAAACATGATGTTTATGTTTTGGTGAAATTTACAGCCACAAAGGCACATGGTATTGGGATTTTGATGAAGAAAATGATTTATCATTTGGTATTAATTATACTGATGAGGTTAGACTTTTTTTCCTTTTATCTCAATTGTATGCCTCGCCAACGAGCATGAAACTAAATTTTGGTTACCCGTGGCAGATCAAATTCCAAGTTCAAAGCGTGAGTTACCCACCGATTCCAGTTGAGCAACCAAAAGATTCAAAGCCATTTGCCCCAATGTTGATTAGTGTAAGCATTTCTTGTTCCACATTTTGGCCTCTACTTTCTTCATTTCCTTGTTTCATGTATTTCATGATGATGGAGGATTGATGTAATGTCTATTTTACAGGGATCGTTAGATCAAGATGGTCTTGGCCCTGTAACTTGGTGGTGATGAATTCATTCCCAGGTTTTATTCATTTTCAAGATTATGATTAGAAGAAATTGCTCCTATTTACTTCAAAATAAGAGTAAACCTTAGAAAAAATTAGTGGTAATTACTTATTTAGGTTAGAAGAAATTAATGGTTTGCTCATGTTCTTGTGGACATCTCTTAAAAACATGGAATGTGATTCAATGAATCCCATTGCTTTGTAAAGTTTATAGTTCATTGTCTGCCTTTCTATTTATACATCCAGAATAGCTATCATCATTTTCTATGTACTGTACCATACTTTTACTATTCCGTGGGTATAATTACATGTCATACATTATTTTTGACTCCTTACATTTTGTGTTATACATTAATTTTTTTTTTTATATTCCTTTGTCATACATTTTAGTTATTGGTGGCATGATATTTCCATGTAAGACGGGTAAATGGTGGTCTGATTCCCAACTATAACTGAGGTTTGCTCTTCCCACTATGCAATCTCTTCGTAATTGTTTCACACATCTCATTTCTTCAAAAGTTAGCCTGGAAGTGTAACTTCTTATTGATAGTATGGCGAGTTTGTGTGTGCACTTCCGTAATAATTCTTCAACACATTTTGAACTCATGTGTGTTTATTTTACAACTCAGGGAATACTTTAATTCAGAATTATACTTCTACAATAACTCAGGTAGTAAGTTTGTTATAAATCTGACATTCTTTAAAAAAAATTTTAAGACGGGTAAATGGGGGTGGTATGATGTCGAGTTACAATTAGGGGTTGCTCTTCCCACCACGCAATCTCTTTGTATTTGTTTCACACATCTCATTTCTAGTTTGTAAGTGTAACTTCTAATTGATAGTATGATGAGTCTCTATGTGTATTTTTGTAATAAATCTTCGACACATTTCGAACTCATGTAGTGTGTTTATTTTACATCTTAAAAAATACTTTAATTCAGAACTGTACTTTTATAATAACTCAGGTAAGTTGTTATAAATCTGACATTCTTTTTATTTATTTTTTAATATATTAAGCCATTTATCTTAAGTATACTATTAAAACAAATATCTGGTCAATTATACCATGGACCAATGTAATTTAATTTAAATGCCATATATTAATTTAATTAAAATTCATAATCAAACATCATTGTTAAATTACAAACCACAATATTACATATTCAAAATAGAAGTAAACTAGAAGTAAAAGTGAATTATTGTGTATATTTGACTTTTATTCTTTCTCTGCCTCCCAGTACTTTAAGACTTTCTTGCTCAGATAGAATGACCTATATAGTTGTTCTCACAGAAATGCCTTCTGAAAACTCTCATATCTCTATACCCATTCAATCAATAGTCATCAGATAGAATGACCTATATAGTTGTCCTCACAGAAATGCCTTCTGAAAACTCTCATATCTCTATACCCATTCAATCAATAGTCATAATACACTAACATGCAAGTAACACATCAAAAACATGATCTTTTCTAACATGCTCATATTCTAATATCTCTTGATGATTTGGTCTAGGTAGATGACCTTGAGTATCTGGTCTCATGTACATATGTGACACTATAAAATAACATTGGATGTAATTGAATGTTTTACTCCATGGATGAGGACCTAACATATTTTGTGCTTCCTCTGGTACCAAATGATTATAGAAATCATCAAACATAACATCAACATCTTTCGGACAACAATGGGAGGACCATACATAGAGGGGTTTTTTGGAATACCCTGTGGAAACCTGAACTGATACATGACTCGCTTAAGAAGATGAAACACATTACGTGACCCATATGTCAACCATCTGGAGTAGAAGACTATATCATCCAAGGGACGCGTCTGACGATGATTGTTGTACGTTATGTATCATATATCATCTGCTGCAGTGCGGTCAAGAAACACCCGAAACAACTCAATCACATTATTTCCTCTAAGTGAGACAAATGCACATACATGTGGCAAATTCTCAAAGCAGTCACCTTCCTATGATCAGACGGAGATGCGTGAAAGAGGATCCATGCCTGAAAATGGTCGAGATAAAATATTCGTAACAGTGTAACACAAGTGTTGTGAAATATCAGTAACAATAAATGTGCAAATATATTCTTGTAAACGTGTTGCTTGCTGTCATAGTCTAGTCTTTCAAAGATAAGATTCAACTAACTTCGAGCACAAGTAAACCAAACAAGAAGACCTTTAGTTGTATTCATGAATCCGCTCAAAGTCAATGGAGTATCTAAGGTAAACCACATCGGCATAATAAATATTTTTGTCTACAAATCTAAAGTTGCCAACAAAATACATGAGGCATGACCTCAATGCACATGCTCTATGATGCAAAACCTGTGCATCATCACCATCAGACTCCACTGCTGCATCCAAGTGGTTTCTGTACAACTCTTAAAAAAATGAAAATCTTACATGACATCCTCTTGTGTCATCCATCTCCTATTGGGTATCACCTGGATAAGCCCCAAACATGTCATTATCATGTCCAGTACATCATGTTTGATGACTTTAGATTGGTTTAATAATCTTCTCCTGATCGAAAGATGTAGCATGAATTTCATGACTTCTCGGCAAATGCACCGATAATGTCGCAGTAATAAAAAGATATTGAATCCACAAGAACTGCTATTTAACAAAACAATAGTTGTGCAAGTTAAAGAAAGTAACAATTGAAGGGGTTTTTCGAGTTTGAATGTGAAAAACAAAAGTTGTTCTGAAATAATGCTAAAGTAGTTAGGTTTTGTATAAAATCTCTTATTTACCCCTGTTGATGTTTAATGCATTACACGAATGAAAAAGTCATTATATTTTCACGATGAATTAACAAAACCACGATACCCAATCCATTGGTATATAACTCACTAATTTCTACTCGGGGTCTCATATCCCTATTCAACCAGCATAAGTGAAGTTAGACTATGCAATATAGCGTTAATTAAAATGACACTACTAGAGGACTCCTATTCTTATTCAACTAGTGTAAGTACAATAATTGCCCTAGTTCCAACACATAGACTAATGGTCAGTATTACCTATGCGCCCAAGATCAGATTAAAAAAGTATTTCACATAAAAAACATTAAGCAAAAGAGGTTAAATAAAAATATAACTTCAATTATTCATGCAATGACAAATTATACATAAATCTCAACAGGTTCAAAATAAGTTCACCAAATAAAACCTTACTTATAGATGTTTAGATACTCATTACGATATAATCAAATACCACGCAATAAGATGAAGATTGCATATGAAAATCCTTGAAGAACTGACCTCCAATGGCTTTCAATTCTCTTAGAATCACCCTTTTTGTGCTCTTTACCGTCTCTTCCAGTCAAAATTAACAGAACCCTTGAAAAGCTGCCAAAAATTCCCGTTTATAGCTGTTAAACTAGTCAATAACGCATGAGAATAAGCCCAGAAAACGACCTATCGCGTACATGATATACTTCATTGCGTGGGCGATGCTGATAATACATCCCTATCACGCGCACGATCTTGCGCATAGCTGAACATTTTTGCTCCTTTTTTCATCAGATTTTTACTAAGTCCTTATTTCTTCATACTTGGTCATTTTTGTATATTTCTTTGGTCTTTATTATTCATTTTTGCTCATGTTTGACTTGCTTTGTTCCATTTCTTCGACAGGAAACATGTAATGACAGAGTGTCATCACAACCCTAAACTTGAACCGTTGCTTGTCCTCAAGTAATTTGTCTGCACTGCAAATTCTAAACAAAAAAACAAGTTGCAAAAATAACAATTGAACATCACCATATGAAATTTTCTTTACCTGACCATCATTCTAGCTTCCAACTACAATCCAGAAAATTCAGAAAACATCCTCTATCTTTGACAAGTACTCAATTTGTCTCTCATTTCACCATTACTCACTCAATTGACATGGTAGTCTTTCAATCAACATGCAAAACAGTTTATACTGAGTTTAATCATGTTCTAATAGAATTCGTCAAAGAAATCAAAATACACACTTTTGAGAGCTTTTTCGGTTGTATCTTGGCATATGTTCGGGTATGACATTTTTGGAAAAGTAGGTTTAAACCTTTGGAGTTAGGTACCTAGTTCTCCTTTTGCTATTATACCATTATTTTTCTTATTAATGTTATTAGAGATATTGCTATTGCGGTCCTCACTATTCATTTTGCATTTTTTTGAAGAAGTTATTTTTAATTTCTTATTTTCTCACAATTTTTGAATTTTTGACAATTTTTTTCTCTGGTACCCCAACCCCAAACTTAAAACTTGCTCACTTCCAAGAGTAACCCCAAACTTATTCTTTTTCATACATTTTTAGAGCTAAAAATTTCTATCTAACTCCAAAGAGAGGGTGAAAAGATGAAATCTTTCAATTCATATGACTAATAAATAAGGCTAAGTCACCAAAAGAATGGCTAATTTCAACGTGGTTAGCAATGGGTGTAACCTATTACTACCAGATGATTACAAAGGCTTAAAGTTCAAAGCAAATAATTGCCTTAATGTGTGTGAATCAAACCATACAAAATGAATCGAAAATAGTTCAAACTTGATAAAACAATAATGCTTGGATACACTCAATGAAAGGAATACTAAATAATGAAAGTTATTGGCTCAAACCTGACTAGTTGAGGCATCTGAAGATTGAGTACAAGTCTATCAATTCCTTTTTCATCTTTTGCTTTCGATTCATCAGTCACTTTCCCGATGATCAAGTTTCCTCTGATGGTGCTTTTAGTTCGTTTGTTCAATGCTACAGTTGCAACTTTTGTAAATCTGGAAGAAACAATATATACAAACTCATTTATTAAAGACAAACATGATTAAATTAATACAATGGGGAAGCGTACTTATAAGTGCTATTACTATTCATTGGGCATACATTCGAAAATTAAAAAAACTTCTAGAAATTAAAAAAAAAACTTGATACGTGTCTTTTTCATATGTTATAATTGTAGAAAAGATCATGCATGTCATTCATAGTATTGTTGAAATCATTATTTT